CACTAACCAGCACGCTGCTTGGCACTGAAACTCCACCACCGTGCCTTTCCAGTGCACCTCACATCCCCACACCTCAGCAGGTGCTTGTAAAAGATTAGCTTTTTGTTCCAATAACAATGTGAGGTGATGTTTCCTGAAGCATACAGCTTTCGTCCTACAGATGGGTAAGCTTCAGTACGGGGAAGTAAAGCAACTCCTTGTAGGCAGCATGTGTCGAAGCAGGAATAGACTAGGAGGAAGTCTCAGAGGACTCCTAGTCATCACTCCACTGCTCCGATCCCTCAACCACATTCCCTCTGTATAAACAGAGCCTCTGGCCACCACAGTGTTTTCTGGCCTGCTATAAAATGTTTTCCTACCCCTCTCTAAGGAATCGCTGGTGCTTAAAAAAGAGACAGCCTTGCTCAGGCTTTTCTCACAGTGCCAGTGTCTCTGTCTAGGAGTCTGGATGTCAAAAAAAGTATAGGGAGATGGAGACAGTGAGACTTGGCAGATGGAGCAACTGAAGTTTTAGTTATAATCTGGATTAAGGACTGCATCAGTGTTGCTCCAGATTAATACTAGACCAGGTTGTGAATAAAGGGGGGATCAACTTTATGAAAAGTGCATCAGTAACAAAATTACCACTCTGCTTCCAGAAACACCAAAACAGGCGTGTTCTTAACAATGTTTGAACGTTGTTTTTGCCCAGCTCTGCAGGGCGATTGGTGACACGACGGTAACACCACCTTGTGAAGTGAGGCATCGGTCAACAACAGCAGGTGTGGGTCATGGAGGGACCAAAGCGTCACTGAGAAAGGTGAAACATGAATTTCACCAGAGTCCTTTGGTCCATTCTGGGGGGACTGAATAGAGTTGAACTTACTGGACAAGCTCAGCCTTTTCCTGCAGTCCGGCTGTTTGGACAAGACAGCTTTCAGGAGATGAGGAGGCCTCCATTTGGCTGTTCCTCAGCATCTTTTTACCCAGAGAAAGACAGAAAGACAGAGCCATGGCACTTCTGGAATCACCTGGAGGTAACTAATAATTCAGCAGTCTGTAAGAGGGTCTCCTGATGAATATTTGGTCTACCAGGCTGAGTTACCATGGTGGAGCCCTCCAATGTGGCAGGTCATATCTGTGTGTGTTCAGATTGGTTCAGAGCTTTTCAAAATATTGTCATGCCTGGTCCTGCATACGCTAACCAAGGCTCCAACAGGAGCTGGTAGGCATTCAGTAGCCAGGACCACCAAGCCAAGCTCAGCATGCTTGTACCGACCCAGCACACCCTACAAGACAGCATCCCTCGCGCCGTTGTGGTGTCACACCCACAGTATGGTGCTGGGAAGGACGTCCTCTCCTGGTATTCAATACCTTTGTCATCCATTTTCATGGCATTGTTCAAGTAAAAGCAACTACATGCAGTGTCTGGCGCGCTGTCACATGCCATCAGGAGATAATGTCACTGGAATTGCGTGTTGTCACAGGAAAACAGCCTCCCGCTGCTGCAGAAATGCCAAATTAAAGCCGAGGCATTTATGGAAAATAAACATCAAGTCAAAGCCAAGATGTTTATTTTAAAAACAAGAGACATGGATCTCGTGGCAACGTTCCATAGTGTCTCTATTCCTCTAATAACAAAAGTCCGATGTGAATCCAGCCAAGTGACAGTTTCTTCCTGGGACGGAACGGAGAGAGCCGAGCCCGATTACTTCATGCGAAGGCTTGCGGGGCTGTTTCTTGTTTGCTTGTCGTCTGCTCAGGTTTTAGCGAAACTGTCCGGATAACCAACACAAAACAGCTTCTCTGATGTATGTTCAGTTTACAAAGGGCTTTAGGAGTGCAGCAGGAAGAAAAAGTGAGAGCACATGCATTTTTCGTTTGCCTTTACATGGTCCTTCTGCCGAGAAGGAGGAAGGACAGGCCTGTGTAACTCCCTGACATCATGGGAGGCCTTCCAGGCATTTCACTGGGCTTTGGTGAATGCCTCAAAGGAACAAACAGTTAATATTTAAGATGATGTTATGCCATTAATGGTGGTGCCGTAATTTGATTGCAATGAGGGCGTAACTGGACCAAGGCTAGATGAGGAAGACAAGATCCTGCCAGGCCATGAGTGGCCACCCCTTGTGCCCAACGCAACTCCACATCCCAGCGCCTGGCCCCCAGGAGCTTCTGCACTGTCCATGCCAGACTAATAGCCACAGAGAAACTGCCCCTCCACTTCATTTCTCCAGTAAATCTCCTTACATCCAGCTGGTTATCCAGTAGCAAAGATGACAGAGTTTATTTCCCTTTGCACAGGAAGAATTAAAGGATATTTGCCAAGACCCTAGTTGGTGAGATATGGTAGGAAGCCACGTTAAAGCTGAAAGTACGAGTTGGAAATGTCCAAATCTTGGGAATGATGCTATCTGATCCATAGCTGAGAATTTGAGCTTTGTCAAACCTAACCATAAAGGCCCAAGCGATGAGATATCCTTTGCCAGTCCTGGAAACCCAGTGGGGGTTACGTCCTAGAAGCTCCTTTAGAGATTCATATCAAATTTTCCCTTTCATCATACTACCCCTCATTAAACCTCCTTGTATTCATCTATGCCTCCCTCTCCCTGACAATTTTCTCTTCCTTGAGCTACATTAAGACATTATGTCTTCAGCATGCTAAAACAGTCTCTTCGCTCTCCTCACTGGCTAACCCCACCATCCTACTCCACACATTCGTCACCCTTCTGCCAAATCTTCCCCCTCTAACCAACCACGCAGGCCAGGCAAGAGCATCCCCACATTACTACCGATTCTTTGGGTACTATTTTTTTTTTAAGTGACTTTTTTATTTATTTATTTTTTTCCTGGGGTAAAATAAATAAGTAGTTTGTTAAACCCGTGATCTGGAGAACAAGTAGAAACAGTCCCTTTTGGGTCTGGAAGTTCTTCTGACCTGACATCCCTAACTAATATGAAAACAAAGATCTGTATCAAAATCAGGTTAAGGAGCTGCCTGAAATTAAAAAAAAAAAAAAAAAAAAAAAAAAAAAAAAAAAGCAAGGAAATTTTGTTTTAAAGGAGATTTTCAAAAGGTAGTGCTCTGAAAGGGGTTAAGCCTACAGTTAGTATTTGGCCGCTCTGTGCTGCAAGGGCCAGAGGGATGTTCTGTACAGAAATTGTAAAATTGCTTATTTTTTCCTTTGGAGATGCTTTGTTGCTTTGTTTCCCAAGGAAATTTTGGCTCCGGCTCCGAGCTGGCATTCCAGATTGACGCTTGTTGAACCGACAAAGATACTGGGAAGCAAGGCAAGATCAGGCTTCTTCTGGCTTATTGCATGCTTGTTTGTAATTTCCTCAGAGCTTATCTTCCCTTACAGTGGGATGGGGATCTCCACCTGGAGCTCTGTTAGGGGAGTTTGACAGGCAAAGAGCAGGCATTTGGTTGGGTTGTGGTGTTTATTGGCTGTATCAGGATACCATAGCAATAAAGGGTATGAACAGACAACAGACGGACGATGCTCTGGGATCATGCAAACAAAACAGCTACGTGGTACCCCTAACACTGCCTTCCACGAAATGTGTCATCTGGGGAAAAGACTGTAAGATTTTATCAGCTTTCAATCTGGTCGATTCTGTGCTAAAACGGAATATCCATCAGTGGGCATCACTGCAACTTAAAGCAGCTCTGGAAAATATTCCCATCCAGGATCCTGCTGCTGTTCATTCGGTGTAAGGTCTGCCTCTGCGCATTAGGGCACCATGCCCTTCCCACCCAAGGGGGCCCACCCCTGTCCACCAGACGAGGCACGGCAACGCTTCGGGATTTCCACGTGGGTTCCCACGGGGCCGGCGGGGAGCCAAGCGTCAGGTCCCCGCTGCTGCGTGGCCACTGGCCAGGGTTAAGCAAACAGCGGGCAGAGAAATAAATCCTCCGCTCCCAGGTTGCGACCTTGTGGAGCAGGCATGAGCCTGGGGTGGGGGGGAGATTTTAAGGGTCCAGCTGGAAGGGTGCAGGGGGCTTAAATAAATGGGGGGGGGGATAAATATGCATGGGGGAGGAATTAATATAAAGAGGGGAATAAGTATGTATATGTGGGGAATAAATATGGATATGGGGGGAATAAATACATATATAGGGGACTTAAAATATATAGGGTGAGTATATATGTAATTGGGGGAATAAATATATATGGGGATATATATAAAATGGGAATAAATAGATATATGGGGGAATAAATATATATAGGGAGAATAGATATATATATGGGAGAATGTATATATGGGGGAATAAATATGGGGGAATAACATACATATAAGAATAACCATATATATGGGGGAACATATATATGGGGGAATAAATATATAAATATGGGGGGATAAATGTATATGTGGGGGAATATATATAAGGGGAATAAATATATGTAGGGGAATTAATGTATATATGGGGGAATTAATATATATATGGGGGAGTAAATATATATATATGGGGGAATGAATTTATATATGGGGGAATTGATTTATATATGGGGGAATTAGTATCTTTATGGGGAATATCTATATAGGGGGAATAAATATCTGTATGGGGGGAATAAATATCTACATGGGGGAATAAGTATCTATATGGGGGAAGAAATGTGCAAATGGGGGGAAGAAATATCCATATGGGGGCATGAACACGTATATGGGGGGGTGGATCTCCAGACGGGGGAAGCCCCCCGTGCCGACCAGGGGTCTCGGGAGCATAGATCTCCATTTGGGAGGAACTAACCTGTACACGGGGCATTAAACAATAAATTTATTTATAGATAATTAATTAATTAAACAAGCCGCTGCACCCCCCCCATGCACTGCCGAACGCTCCCGCTCCGCGCCCAGCCCCTCGCCCCGGGGCAGCGCCCGCAGCTCGGCGCTCAAGCCCCGCCCCTCCCCGCTCCTATTGGCTGCCTTCCCCCGGGGGGGCGTGTCCCTCCCTCCCCTTTCCCTCTGCCATTGGCGGCGGCGCGGCGAGGGGCGGGGCTCGGCGGCGCGGGGCCATGCGGTGGCCGGGGCGGCGGCGGCGGCAGCGGGGGCGCGTTCCTGCGGGGCGCGCGGCCATGGGCGAGGGGTGGCTGGCGGCGGAGTGCGGCCCGCAGGGGAACCGCTCGGCGGGGCGGCAGGAGGCCGGCGGCGGGGCCGTGTCGCAGCAGTGGGCGGTGGGGATGAGCCTGCTGATGGCGCTGCTGGTGCTGCTGACGGTGGCGGGCAACGTGCTGGTGATGGCGGCCATCGGGCGCACGCAGCGGCTGCAGACGCTGACCAACCTGTTCGTCACCTCGCTGGCCTGCGCCGACCTGGTGATGGGGCTGCTGGTGGTGCCCTTCGGGGCCACGCTGGTGGTGCGGGGCTCGTGGCTCTGGGGCTCGTTCCTGTGCGAGTGCTGGACCTCGCTGGACGTGCTGTGCGTGACGGCCAGCATCGAGACGCTGTGCGTCATCGCCATCGACCGCTACCTGGCCGTCACCTCGCCCTTCCGCTACCAGAGCCTGATGACCAGGGCCAGGGCCAAGGGCATCATCTGCACCGTCTGGGCCATCTCCGCCTTGGTGTCCTTCCTGCCCATCATGATGCACTGGTGGCGGGACGAGGACCCGCGGGCGCTGGAGTGCTACCAGGACCCCGGCTGCTGCGACTTCGTCACCAACAGGGCGTACGCCATCGCCTCGTCCGTCGTCTCCTTCTACATCCCCCTCCTCGTCATGATCTTCGTCTACCTGCGGGTGTACAGGGAGGCCAAGGAGCAGATCCGCAAGATCGACCGCTGCGAGGGGCGCTTCTACGGCGGCCAGGAGCAGCCGCCGGCCACCCCGCTCGCCCACCACCAGCCCGGCCTGGGCAACGGGCGGGCCAGCAAGCGGAAGACCTCCCGCATCATGGCCATGAAGGAGCAGAAAGCCCTGAAGACGCTGGGCATCATCATGGGAGTGTTCACCCTCTGCTGGCTCCCCTTCTTCCTGGTGAACATCGTCAACGCCTTCGACAGGGACCTGGTGCCGGACTGGCTCTTCGTCTTCTTCAACTGGCTGGGCTACGCCAACTCCGCGTTCAACCCCATCATCTACTGCCGCAGCCCGGACTTTCGCAAGGCCTTCAAGAGGCTGCTCTGCTGCCCCCGCAAAGCCGACCGGCGGCTGCACGCCAGCGGCGGCCAGCTGGCCCCGCTCCCCGGGGGCTTCATCAGCACCCTCGGGTCCCCCGAGCACAGCCAGGGGGGCACCTGGACCGACTGCAACGGGGGCACGCGGGGCGGCAGCGAGTCCAGCCTGGAGGAGAGAAATAGCAAAACGTCCCGCTCGGAGTCCAAGGTATAGGTAGGGGGAGGCGGGCAGGGGGCGCGGGGCTCGCTGGGGCCAGGGGAAGAGCGGGGCAGGAGCCCGGTGGGGACGCTGACGGTGGGGACGCTGATGGGGACGCTGACGCCAGCCCAAGCTGCGCTCTGCCTTGGCGGGGAGAGAGAGCCCGTGTTTACTTACGACTAAAAAGCAGGTGAATTGCGTACGACATACCTCATCTGGAGCTAAAAGCAAGCGGGAAGCTCGCTGGCCGGAGGACAGAAAATAAAAACAGCCAGTCCCAAAGATAACCAGATTATATTTAGTGCTGAAAGAGACTTAGATGCAGCCGGGCTGGAGAAACGCTCTCCCGAGCCCGTCCCGTGGGCGAGCCTCCCCGCACGGCGCCGGCAGCCGGAGCCCGGGCAGGAGCAGCGGGAGCTTGGCGATGCAGCCAGGCAGGAGCAGGTCCCCGCTGTGCCAGGGGCCAGCAGGTGCCCCCCGTTTGATTTCCGAGCCCTTCGGGACCGGTCCCACGCAGAAGTGGCCGAGGTCTGCCCATGGGGCCAGCACCGACCTGCCGGCCAGCCCCGCTCGCCACGGGGAGGCTGCGCTCCCCTCCTCTGCTAGCTGGGATGGTGACAGAGTTAACAACGGGGAGCACAGGTCTCTTTCTTTGGAAAGGGAAAAAAAATATTAAAATAACCCCAAACTCTTCTGCTTTTTTTATTTCCACCCCCCCACACACACACCCTCTGCATCAGCAACCAGTGAGTTGTTGTGCTTATCTCTGTGGCCAGACAATAGCAGTCAGGCTGGGAAACTTCTACCTCAAACTGTGCATATTGTACAGGGGAATACACGGGCCGTGTTTATATTAAACAGCGTATTTATCTACCACTAGTAGTATTTTATGGAAAAGGGGGGCCGGGGGGGGGGAGGTTAATGAGCCTTCTGCAGCTTGTTCGTTGTAATTACAGATGGACAGGGGGGAAAAAAAAAAATCCTGGCAGCAACAAAAAATTACTGCACAATTTTGGAAAATGGCAACAAAGCTGTTTTTTGCACAGTATTAAGAATTGTAAAGTTTTTTGAAGGTGTTCCTTGCACACACATACACACATGCAAATTGAAAATGAAACGGAGGTTTAAATAACACCAAACCTGAAACTGATTTCTGTTTTGGTCTGATCTGTTATAGTTTTATCGAGAGAGTGACTTTTTATATTATTTTATGAAGGTACTGTACATAGATCCGTATTATAAATTAAGATATCTTAAGGGACTTTTATTATTTTTATTTCCAAGTGCCCACGTGAACCTGCTGTTATTTTAGCACTTGTGTGACATTTCCATTTTCCTCTGTGTGTGTGTTTTATAACCTATTTATACTCTGGTGCAATTTACTACTGTGTAAGTAATTGGTGTATGTGCAATAAATACCATTGCAGCACAAGCAAGCGTGTCTGTATAGGTTTTGAAACAATACCTGCCTATAATGGGAAGACCAGCATTTGTTTTTCTTCAAAGATGGCTCGGGTTACCAATACAACTCTATCTAATGGCTTTTCCTGACACAGGATTGTAAAAAAGCGTGTTTGAAACCCAATAAGGTTGCATTCCTGTTGCACCGAGGTCTGCCCACTTCCCTTAAAATTAATGGCTAAGTGACAAGGTGTTTCCAGGCTGATAATGCACGCGCTCCTTCTCCCCAGCCGCGCCGTTCGGGGTCATGCTCACCTTTTTGTTGGGGTACGAGCTGGGATCTGGGGGACCAGAATAGTTAAGAATTCTTGCTTTGAAAGTTACATGGGGCCTTGAGTGGGAAGGGGTCTCGTGGTGCTCGCGCTGTGACCGCTGGTGTAGGGCTGAGCTTTGGGGTCCCTGGTGCAGAAGGTTGCCTTCCCCTACAGCTTTGTGCAGGCACGCCGTGCCCTCGTGGGTCCGTAGCGTTTTCATTACTGCAATGAATACTCGGCAGCTAGAGCAATCAAAAGGCAGTGTAAAACACCTCCCGATGTCAGCGCAGAATGAAAGTGAGCCATTTTTAGCTTTATTAGACTCAGAAGCACAGTTAAATCACAAGTCAGCTCCCAGGAAGAGTGCTTCCCAAGGTGAGATCTGTAGGGCAGAGAGAGAGGTTGATTTGGTAACTGTGCGTTTTGTTTTTTTTTTTAAATAAAGTAATTTGTCTTTAGCAATTTCTAATAATGTATTTTAAGGGAAAAAAAAAAGTTTTGCTATTTATGCAAGGAAAAAATAAAGGAACTGAGGAGGTGAATAATCCTTTTGAGTTGAATTAGCAGGGCTTTGGCTGCGAGCTGCAGGCAGGCAGGAGTTTCTCCCGTGTCAGGTGGGCTCCTCAAAATGCCACCGGGCTGGCAGGTCGGGATGCTTGGTCTGCTCTGTCACCGCAGGGTTTGTTGGCTTTGGACCCCACGGACCTGCTTTATGTCTGTGATTCCAGCAAAGTCACCGGGACTCCACGTGCAGGGACTGTGGCACCTGATGCTGGTGACAGCAGGGAGGCGGCGGCTGCGTGCATCGGGGACAGGATGGGACGGGACACGACGGCAGTGTGCCCAGCACCAGCAGCAGCCCTGGCCCTTCCTCCCCGTGCACATTGCTGGGTAGGGCAGGGCAGGATCTGGCCCCAGCAGGCAGCTCTCCTGTCCTTAGGATTTAGCAGGTGATGAGTGTTTTGGCTCAACCAGGACTTCAGATGGGAAATTTAGGGTCAGGATTTGCTCTGCTCATCCTGCCGAAGAGCTGCATGGGGTCACGCTTCCCCTGGCTGAGCACCACGGATTTACAGGTGTTGAAGGCAGGATGAGTGCTGCCCGTTGACCCCAGAAGGGCCCACTCGGTGACCTGGGAGCGCCTGGAGCCCGCACATTGAAGCCACAGCAGACAGTGAAGCATGGGCAGCTGCTGGAAAGCCAGCGGTGTGGATCCCCCTTGGGACAGGCTGTCCTCCGCTGCCGGGCAAGAAGCAAACCTGCAGAGTGCTACGGGGCAGCCGACATGCTCTGGAGGCTTGCAGTGAACGTACATACATCTGAGGAAACAGCCAGAGCCTGTCGGGACCAAAATCATTCGAGCAGGGTGCCTGAGACGTGCGTGTGTCAGCGGCCGGATCCTCAAAGGCGCCGGTCGCTCTCTTGGCAGTGTTTGCGCAGCACGGCTGAGAAGCAGGCTGCAGCCCTCCGGGTGCCTAAATGGAAATAGCAGGTGGGACACCCGCCTTCCTTTCGTGGTGTGTTCGGGGAGCCAAGGAAGAGAACAGATGGATGTTTCCAAGGTCTGGATGCACCGACGGGCACCCGGCACAACAGCACTGGGGCTGCAGGGGCGCCTCTCGAAAATTCACTGCTCTTAAAGCCTGGGACCCTGGCTGGTAGCTGCCTGCAGGCTCACACCGAGCTGTAACTGATGAACCAATGAAACTAAGCGTGAAAAATGCAGGCTTAAAATTAGGATCTTAGCCGTGCCCACAGCTCACACAGGATTTGACAGCATCAGCCATCGGTTGGTGATACAGCACGCTCTGCTGCTTCTGCAGGCAGCTGCTCTCCCTTCGGGGCACCCCTCTGTTTCCAAGTATCGGGACTACTTCTTCATCGGCTTTTTCTTTCTTGTTATTTTTTATTATTTTTTTTTGCTAAACCCTGTCTGAAGTTCACGTTTTATTAATAACTCTTAAGTGGCTATTTATTTTGCAAACCTTCCCCGTGCTGCACGCTTTCCTCATTTATTGTAATTTCCTGCCCAGCGGAGTGCACTCACTTCCTTTATGTAACGTATCAATTGCAGGGCTGGAAATCGCGCAGCTAGGAACTAAAGGAGCGCTTTCTTGAGGCCAAATGCGGTCAGGCATCATTGCCACTGGCAGCAGAACTTGACCTGATAATCTAATCTTTTCTGAGAGAGTATTTCCAGCAAAGTATTGTTACCAGCAGCAAATGACCTCTGTTAATGAAGCCGGAGCAATTAGTCCTACCCGAGGATGTCAAGAAAATGTGAACTGCTGAACAACAGTTACCACTGGATAGCTGGAATAATAAGTGTTTTGTTTGCTGGTGTGCGTTAGGTGATGTGTTGGGAAATAATTATCCTTTGACTAGCAGCCAGCTTTGTGCTAATCAGAACGAAGCCGTGTTCTGTTTGAAGGATTATGCCTAAAAATAGTTCTGCTACAGCCACATCAATGGGTGAAATGAAGCAAATGCGCAGAGACATACACACCTTCTGCGTATTTCACTCGGAGTCCTCAAAACTCTTTGTTCAGCGGGAACTTTCTGTTTGATCATGGCAGAGGCACTAATGCGACCTCCCGGGATCGCGCTCAGCGTGCGCTCCCCGAGGAGCATTACCCCATGCACCACTGACTCGCTTTCAGGGCCTGCCAAATTCCGAAACGCCCAAGGAGGAAGCGAGGAGTCCTCCTCTGCGTGTAAACAATCGGGCAGAGTGTAAGATCAACACCGTTCGCAATAACGGCCTCGCCGAAGAAATCGATCTGCTTTTTGTTTGCGGGGCTGCCGTGCCCCTTTATTTGCCTGCCTGCCCGAGAGGAGCTGCCGTGGTTCGCCCTCCGGCCAGGGGCTGTCGGATGGAGCTGGAAAAAGTGACTGGGATGAAGAAATGGTGAGAAGGGCGATGCTGGCATCAAACCTGGAGCTGTCATTTGCAAAAAGTAAAAACGGAGACAGCAACATTGTGATACAGTTTTGTGGGGCAGGCTGGACACTCTGGGTAGGGTGCACCAGGTGAGCGCACCACAGAAACTCAGGGTAGGGAGTGGAGGATTGAAGACTTTTTCCCTACACGCCTGTGCCACCAAGGGACTGGCAGCTGAAAAATGCCCCAGACATTCCTGAAAGTTTTTGACTCTTTTTGGGCAGCAGCAGGAAACCAGACCGAACCTGAGCAGCGTCTCGGCAGCCGTGCAGCTCTCTGGCAGCCCGCGGCACTGAGGGGAACTGCTCCTGGGGACCACATCTCCTCCCCAATGGGCTCCAGCTTTGCCTCCAGCTTTACAGGACCTGGAGACCTCCCACAGCCTAGGCTGGCATCTGGAGCCCCAACCTTGGTCCCACAGAGGGACAGCCCCATGGCACCGTGGTGGTGGCACCTCAGCGGGTTGGGCTTGCCGAAAAGCAGAGCTTTGGTGTTTGTTACGTAAAGCACCCACGGCTCTGCCGGCACTCCGAGGCACTCTCCCTGCCATCTCCTCATCCCAGCAGCTTGCTGCAGGCCCTTTCACGTTGCTCCTGCAGCAGCCGCCCGGAGCCCTGCCCAGGCAGGAGCCCAGGGCCTAGCCCTGGTGTGGCCGTGCCCGGCTCTGGCTGCGGGATGCTCAGCGCTCCGGGGCCCAGCTGCCCCACGGGAAATGTCCCGGCCTCGAGGTTCAACCTGAGGGAGAATCCCAACAGGCTTCTGCCATCGCCGCAGGGAGCGATGTGTTGCAGGCGTAGTGGTGTGCCTCTCCTCCCCGAGCCCATGTAAGCTCCAAATCCCGTCACCCTTAATGAGATTAAATTGGGATTTCCTCCCGGCTCGGTGCTCCTGCCGTCAGCCGCTCTTCTGTGCCTCCAGGCAGCGATGTACCTCTGCGTGCCCAGCCCTGTGTCTCTCTCAGAGCCCTGCTGTTTAGTCTCCTTACCAAAATTAGTTTGATGATTGGTCCTAAGCTCGTTGGCACGATGCTTCGAGAGGTAGATGTATGTGAATACGGCAGGGAGGCGGGCAGAGCCACTAAGGGGCTCAAAATCTCAGCAGCTGCTGGGTGAATAAATCCTACAGCTAGAAACAAGCCAAATGTTGAGGGCAGGGAGAGTGCTGGAGACCCCTCGGGGCTGTCAGCCGTGCTTCCTCCAGCCGGGACCAGAGAAAACAAACAATTTGCAATGTGGTCAGAT